GGGCGCCGGAACGTGCACGGTTCGCCGGCGGAAGCGTGCCCGGAAGACGGCGACATCGAGGACGTCTCCGTGGCCGGTACGAGTAGCGACGAGTTCGTCTCCAGCTGTTCGTCGGCCACCAGCGGCGACGATATGGACACCGATGACGACTGGGATCAATCGTGTTCGTTCCGGTTCCCCGACGACCAAACGCGTCGAAGCGTCCCGCCGCAGCGCGACGGTACGGACGCGGCGGACCGCCACCAATGCTGCCAGCACTGCTCCAACCATTACGACGGCGATGCCGAGTCGGCGGTGTACAATCCTTTTTCGGCGGACGACCGTTCGTATCCGGACATCCGGGACACGTCGATGCCGTTGAACAGCTACGAAGAGATCCCGAGCCGGGACCATGTCGATTGGCCGATGGAAGCGTATCTAGAATATCACGACATCGATAACGTCAGTATGCCCTACGTCGACAGCGATTTTGACCACACCGATGGGTGCGACTGCCATCCGGGCCCTTACGACTTTTATTGAAACGATGCGCATACGCGTTCGTGCAATCCGTCGGACGTGGTCGGCGACCTGTAAATGATTGTGTGACGATTGCTTTTCCCGCTTTAATCCTGTATGGTGCCGCATCACCAAGGTATAACATTACGTCGTTGCCACGCATACCATCGGGCCACACCGATTGATCGAAGACTCTTTTCGAGCACCATTAAAATGTAGTTTAAAAGGTAGATTTGGTTACTTCAGCCCTGGTTTATCTACGTATTTACCCTCAACATCAGCGGTTTCATCAACTGAAATCCATATTTTGTACCTTGCATTATTAGATCCGAATTAATTCGTAGTTTCTCCATAAATATCATTCGCGTAACTTTTTTTTACGCAAAGTTCTTTTGCCAAGCATACTTTTGTTAGTATGTTTTTCCATAAATAAACGGAAATCCTTGTTGTTAATTTTTTTTAGAGGAATTTTTGCAGTAAATAATTATTTACAAAGATCTATTAGAAAACTTGTAATTATTTTAATAATTAATACTTTTCTAAAAGATCTTTGTAAAGCGTTATTATTTGCAAACATTCTTCTAAACAAAGTTAACTAGAATATTTCTGACGAAAGGACTTTGTGTAAAAGTTACGTGAATGGTATTTATCGAGTAATTATGAACAAAATCGGATCTAATATTGTAGGACATAAAATATAGATTTCGGTTGTTGAAACCACCGATGTTGAACTCTGAAAACCCTAAATAAAACCAATATTCAAATTTTAATATGAATTCTTATTTTAAAATAACTCAAATTTGTATTAATGAAATAACTTCTACATTTTTTTTTTTTAATAATGATTTCGGTAAATAAAAAAATGTATTACAATTTTTAAGTGCAATTTTGAGTATTTTTTTAAATAATTATGTAATTAATTTTAATAATTTTTAGTTCGATAACTTATGAGTTAAAAGTATAAGTATTAAATAAAGTTATAAGTATTAAATCAATGGAATGGTACACAAGTGTACTTAGTGAGATTAACCATATATAAAATTTTTTTTCATCTACTCAAAAACTTGATTTAAATCATTGTTTTAGACCAGTGGTGTCTAATTAGTGTAAAGTCACGGATCCCTAGCTATAACTTTAATTGGTCTAAAGGCCCCTTTTTTTTAAATACTTACTTTTCAATTTTGTTTAATTAAGAAAATGAAAAAAAATGCATGATTTATTTTAATTTAACAAACCTTTTCGTAACATTATACACATTTTTTTAAAAAAAAAAAAAAAAAAAAAAGTATATTTATAAAAAAAGATTTATTTGATTTAACACTTGATTTTACTTACAAATTTATTGTAATTACCTTTTACAATTTACTAACGAGTTACTCAAATTAGTTATAGCATTGATTTTCGAACTTTATGAGACAAGTAAAACCTTTCTTTTTTGTTCATAATTTTATCCAAGCTGCAAATTTGATATTTTTACTCTTAAATTAGCATCAGTAACAGTTGGTATAAAAAGCTATTTCACATATATATGTTGTGCAAAAGGGGATCAAATCTTTCTCGACTAATAGCTTTTGATCATTTACATAGGCGTGCGCACAGGGCGTGCCCAGGCACGCCCTGTGATTTTTCATGGGCCGAAGCGCCCTATGCCTCTGATCTACCTAAATTACAAAATTCAATTTTAAAGAGAATTTGAAAAAAATTTTAAAATTCACTATGTGCACTCTGTAGATGAAAGTTTGTATATATTATTGTATATAGACATATTTTGGCTAAACATTTTGGCATAAATATTCTTAGGCTCGGATAAGACTAGCGTTTTATCGGCGAAACCGCAACCCTTTGTGATCATTTCAAACCGATTTCCGACGGTTCGGAGAATCGGTTTAGTCTGGTCGCGATAACGCGGTTTATATGTTATTTATAGATGTTGCGGTTGTTAAGCATATGGTTATAGTTTGATCATAAATGTATATATAATAAACTAATATAATATAGTAAAGATATAAAAAAGATATATAAGATATATAAAGATATCTTGTAATCGGAATTATTAAATATGATTCAATATGGTATACATGTTAACATTTCAATAAATTTAAAAAAAAAATATAAGAGCTTACGTAGGGTTTTCCATTTATAATGACATACAATTCTGAACTCATGCATCTCAATCAGCGAGTAATCTACCCGTTTAGTGGTGTATATCATATTAATATGTTATTTTTATTTACTCGGGTACACGTACTTTGGATTGACGCAAGATTTAATTACTGAACTGAAACTTATGAAAAATTATCAAAATGCTATGCAACTAAATGGTGCTACTATTGAATATGTTTATGAATGGATTGATTGGTTGAAAACTTCTGGAAATTCCACTGTATATACTTGTGTTTTTAAAACTTTAAAAATGTTTACAATCATACCTGTAATCAGCTGTACATGTGAACGCGTTTTTTCAAAATTAACTGTTGTAAAAAACAAATTACGCAGTACAATGGGCCAAGAACGTTTGGAGTCATTATTACTACTTTTTACGAAACAAGAAATGGTATCAAAGGTAGATTTAAATGCAGTAATAGATGAATTCAATAGTATGGGTAATAGACAAATGTCTCTCTAAGTACATAAAATACTTATATAACTTCTTTATAATATCCTTTATTTTAATTAACTTGTACCTGTATGATATAAAGTATTGAAAAAAAAACTTTAAACTATATTATATTATAATTTATAATTATTATTATTATTATTACTATTATTATATTATAAACTATGCAAGATAATATAGGATGTGTGTTGATATTAAATAGGTATATATAATTTAGATGTGTTGTATTTATAAAATGGTTGACTAAAGGGCCGATGATAATGTATGGGCACTACCGGCTTTAAGAGTCTGCACACGCCTATGATCATTTAGAACAATTAATCAAAAAAATCAATTAATTTTTTATCGTTGAAAATATTTTTCATCATTCCGTTATCCACCAATATACGTATAGGATTTCGGCCATGGAAGTTGCAGAGTTAGTGTTATATATTCAATACCCGAAGATTTTCTCCCAAAATATTCATTTGGTCTATCTTCCCCTTTTTTAATTTATTGATCGAAAAATCAAATTTCTTTATACAGTCCCCATTACAAAGTCCATAGAGAACTTGCGCAGCTTGTGTTGCAAATTTCCATACACTCCGTCTTATTCTATGTTCTACTGAATTTAATACTAAGTCCCTACGTTTATATAAGGCTTTTTGTATAATTAAAGAGTACTGTAATAATGGTTGACAAATCTTTTTATCTTTTTTTTTTATCTCTACACACATTTCTTTAGTTGTTTTCAACCGATCTTCAATAAGAGTCCATTGTTCTGCATAATTTGTTATATCAAAAAAAATCGCGAGGTCCAAGTATTAGTTATAATTTTAATTTGACCTAAGTTTTCATAGTACAATCCTGATCTGTGTGATATTTCATTGTTGTTGAAATTTGATTGAGACATCACCATGTGACATCCAAGGACTAGATGGATCAGACTGTAAATGTAATAATATAAAGAAAACCATAATCGTATCATATATATATATATATATAAATACAAAAAAAAAATAAAAATATTTTCTTTATTTATTTACTGGCATTAACAATGTTTTACTAAATTTTCATATCTGTAGTGTCTAATAATAAAATCAAATATACATTTCGTAAATTTCACATCCGTGCGCGTATATGATTTTGTGTTTTCTCTTACAAATCAATTTGTGTCTCTACCAGATTTAACAACCTTCCCTGTTTGTTATACTGCCCCAATTCCATTTCACAAATAAGTTTTCTATTTCTTAAATTTTCTAACCATGGGCGACCCCAGACATTTTTTTAGGGGGAGGGGGCAAAATTAATTTAAAATATAAATGAAAATTTTTTTATACATTTTATTTATATTAAATTATTATATTTCGTCATTATTAAAATTATGAATGAAAACATTACAATTAGGTAGGTATTATTATTACAATTAAAACATTAAAAAATATTATTATACATCATTCTTTTTCATTAAATATAAATTTCAATCTCCGTGGACATTTTGAATTTTACCAATTTTTGTGGAAATAACATTATTCCAGAGGGGGGCAAGTGCCCCGTCTTGTCCCCCCCCCTGGGGACGCCCATGTTTCTAACCGTAAATAAAACGATTGTGTGTTGGTCGTGTCATAACACACTATGTTTAACATCACATAATTATTAATATTTAATTTCTCTAGTATTTCCTTATCACTATGGCCACAAAACAAAACAATTACACATTGTTGTACTCCTTTGTTTAAATAATTTTTTTATAAAAGTCGAGTTCAACGTGTTTAAAGGACTCCTAACACTAAGCTTGAATTGCTGTAAACACGCCTCCCTGATTTCCGATTTCTTTTTAAATATCCGGTGTATCTCTCTAATAGCTGGATGCATTTCTTGGTCGCTTATTGGTCTGACCTCCTCATGCCTTCTGGGTAGATATAGTGGTCTTCCCTCCAGTTTCGTTATCTTAAACTGGTCCAAGCTATTAGAAATAGCCCCTGATATTAATATTTTGGAATATCTATCGATCGGTGAGAACTCGAAATCCAGCATGACAAATTTATGTGTTATTTCCCTAATAACAGAATAAAATAAACTATATTTTCTATATCTACAAATTATTACTACTAATTTATTATTATTAATTTTTTTTTTCTATAATTCGGTTTCATAAAATAATTTCACATTATTTATATGAATGCGATACCCCTTTCGACCTTTGTTAACTGTAATATTTTCATTATCATGTATTTCTAATACTTCATACGGGCCCGTCCAATTCCTACTTAATGTGTTTCGCTTATTATGTTCTTTAATGAGGACTTTGTTTCCTACATTTATTTTAATCTCATGTAAATTTTTATCATGATATTCTTTATTTATTTGTTTTTTCTTTATTAAGTTTTCCCATGCTATTTTATTTGTAACGATATCTGTGGCTGTTAAATAGTCCCCCTCCAAATAGAATTTGTCTGAATATTCTCTACAAATACTTATTATATTTTGTTTTTCCTCCGTGTTTAAATGTTCTGTTTTAATTGATTCATTAAGTAATTTAATTCGACCTGATTGACCACCTTTGGTTTCCCTTTCATTTGTATTATTAATTAAGAATATATTATCTGTGTACGGTTCCCAATTCAAATGACTAGTAGTTAATTCATCAATAACAAATAGATCTTCTGATATATTAATTATATTACCGATAATTTTATTGTCTTTTACTGGGCTCAAACTATTCGCAATTATTACATTTTCATTTAACGCGTGTTTTTTCATAGCTACTACATTTGAATTAATTATCTCATCACTTTTTATCTGTAATACACAATTACTACGCGTCGGTATTATAATAGATTCGACTTTATTCTCCTCGATTGGCTCGGGAATAATTAAGACTTCCTTATCCCAATCCATTATTGCTTTATTATTTTTTAAAAATTCAACTCCTAAAATACCTGCTTCATTCAGGTAATGGAAAATCATCTTTTACAATATCAAATTTAATGTTAAATGTTTGATTTTTAATAAAAACTTCTACTGTTGTCGTGCCTATCGTTAATACTTTTGTTTCACTTATACCTTTTATAAACCGTTTTTCATCTTCATTCACCATTACATGGTCTATTTACGTAGACATTTTGATAACATTCATATCGGCACCACTATCAATTAAAAATTTACTTTCACACAAAAAATCATTTGCTCTACAAATTATATGTTCAGCTTTAATTGGTATCATTACTCGTATATTATTTTTTATATCTCCTATTGATCGCATTTTACTTGTACCCGCTGAATTCTCTGAACTTTCTGAACTTCCTGAACTACCTGAAGGATCCCCCTCAGCTTTAATTTTTTCTTTAAGTTTCCTAAATTCCGAAATATCACGATTTTTTAATTTATGCAAAATTTTACATGTCCCGTATATTCTCTTTTTATATCGGGTTTCTTTTTAATATATTGCTCAGGCGTCCTACACTCGTTTGCATAATGTCCCATTTTATCGCATCGATAACATTTAATTGCGCTTTTATCATAATTATTTTTACTAATGAATTTATTATTATTACTTTTAAAATTATTTTTAAAATTGTTCCGATTATTTCTATAAGTATTCATTAAATTATCTGATTTACGAAACGTATTTTCATGTTCCATTGCTATTAAAATAGCTTCCTCAAAACTTGTTATATTACGAGCTAATAAAATTATCTGAATAGATTGTTCTACCCCCGATATGAATACGTTTAATGCCTGCGATTGTATAGTTTGCGCGATTATTTTTGCTTCCGCGGCATTTTTATTTATTGTTGACGCGTTTGTTAATTCGTGATACGTTTTTTTTATGCGCTGCGCGAAATCTTTTATTAATTCTGAGTGATTTTGTTTCATTGAACTTAATTGCCCTTGTAAATATTGTACTGAATGAGATGTACCAAAAATCGTTTTTAAATGTACTTTTAACTCTTCCCATGTTGTTATTTCCCTGTACCTAACTGCCTCAAAAGCTTTGCCTTTAAGTTGAGTAAGCACTGCGGCTAGAATTTCAGGTTTCGAAATATCTGGTATTTTTGAAAATACGAAATCACATTTGGAAATAAAGAATGCTAGATCGGTTTCACTTCCTCCTGCAAAGTCGGGAATAAATCTCAAAGCAGTAATAAAATCTAATTGATTTGTCATATTTATTTCTATAAACGTCTTGTTTAAATCTATTAAATCTCGACTCGACTCGCCTCTACTCTCTGAGTTTAACGTATCGGTTAATACTGAATCCCCTGATTCAGGTTTCTCTATCACTCTATTCTTTTCATTTAATACTTTACTTCTTGTATACATTTACTGTATAAAACTTAACTCTCAACAGATTTGACAGAGTATAATAATAATGATAACTTACACTTTGTTCATTTCTGTATGGGAGGTGAAAAAATGCGTCCTTGAACTGCTCGGCTCTGCTTGGCTCCGCGTTGTGGAAATTCCGTTATCCTGGACTGCACTTCGTGATACAAGCCTTTCTGATTTGCGTTGAGTTCCATGGACGTTGTCCCTTGAACTCGCCTTGTTGAAACTGAACTGACTTACAATTCAGCGTAAATCTCTTGATGACATAGAACGTGGTTCGTCGGTGGGTTTCGAATTACTTAATTGAACAACAATTATTTTCACTCGATTGAAACGACCCCACACCTGACACCAAATTTTATGTAGTGATCGTTGTGCAGGATACTACGATCGATAACACATTAATTATTTAACGACGTAGCACGTTGTATGTAATCTTGAGACGTGGGTTGAGAGAGATAGGTAGGTGAATAAATTTAACACTGGTACATTAAACTTATAAACTTACTGTTTTTATTAATTTATCACAATAAATTAACAAACAGTTAAAAACACAAAAAATTAAAATAACAAGTTATTCTGGGCTAAGAATTATATACTCGCGGCGATGTGGCTGTAACAAAGTCCACGACGAGCAATAATTTATTAATTAGGGAAATGGCCAGTATAACACTGTCTATTAGAACTACCTATCTACATCTGAATAATGCTAAATGCTCAACCCGTATTTATACAGGTTCCAATGACGTAAAAGTGGCCTAATTCTAATATTACTTTATTTTACTGTATAGCATTATTATGTTAAGACGTGAAAACTACTTGTTGTTTTCACCTTTGCTCTGGATTTCCTGCGATTAGGCATATTTAATTAAAACTACATTTTGTTTTCACCCATGCCCTGGATTTCCTGCACGTAGGCATAGTTATTAATATGTATACTAAATTATATTGAATATTGATCATTAAATACGCCTAGCCTTGGGCTTACTACGGTATAAATAAATATTTTTTGTTTTATTGTCTTAAATTAAAAGGTTTTAAGTATAATTATAAAAGGTGTTCGTATTAATTTTTCTACTTTACGTACTTGTGCGAGTATATGAGAAAGTTAAAATAACTTTAGAGCTACTAAAGGAAAGTAAGCCTTTTAATAAACCTGTTTTTGACTATCCTATTAAGCAGTGCTAGATTGTATTCTTTGTCACTTAATGAGGTAGCCGTTCGGGCCAATTATAAAGGTTTTTCTTTACGTGCTTGTTTGACGGTTAGAGTGTCCAACAACCGATAAATATCCTTTTTTGTGTTGCTATACGTCAAACCTTTGCGTGGCGTATACATTATTTACAACTAAAAAATAAATATATGCCGTGTAATATAATATCTATGTTGAAATTTGACAGTAACAAAAAATATACTTACAGTGAAATCGTGTAAAACTTCTTTCGGCACACACGTCAGGCAATTGATCTGTACGTTGTATACGATAATTGGTTAAATTAGTTGGAAATACTAATTAACCCCTTGTGTTTTTAGAGATACCACCAACTACTGTTGAGGAAGAAATCAACTGACACAAGGGAGTGACAAAATTACATTGGATATGAAAACCATCGATTCATTGGACAAGATTTTAAAGTATTGAGTTGTGTTGAAGTTAAGTGTTGAAATGATTGTATATGAAATTGTTGAGCTAAATTCAAGCTCATATTGATTGAAATTTTCTTAATTTAAATATACAACTGTGTGGTAGTAGTTTGATTGACTGTGTATTTTTTTTTTTTTGGATTTGCCAAAATTATTTTATTTGCAAACTAATTTTCGGTGGATTGTTTCTTTTGCCTATTTGAAGATTATTTCTTCTTTCGACTTTGTTGAAAGTCTAATCTCCTCAAAAACTTTTTTACAATAGTGCTCATACATTTCTTTTTCGTTGGTTTCATCACTATCACCACATAACCATAATTCTGATCCATAAATGATTGAACGTATGTATGTACGTAAATTACAGAAAACTTAAGTAATTTAAATACCGATACTGATGTAAATATTGCCAGAAGTCAATGCCGCATTGAGGCAAAAATATTATGATTCTGATTCTAGCACTAAATCTCTGTCGCAATGTGATTATTTAGTATCATGTACAACGCACTTAAAATATCCTGATCCTCCTAAACCGAAATAATTTTAATAAATTATAATTACTATTTACTAAAATATTAAATTGAAATCTCACATTCTATATAGAAAAGGTGATTCAAAAATATATGATCAAGGCAAGAATCAACCCCAACATTTGACGATCACGTTACATTCTCTCAAAGTACATTGACAAAATGGAAAATGAAAGTAATAATCATTTAGGTTGATAACAACCAGATTATACGATTTCCGTGAAAACATACATTCACGACGTGTCGCGGCGACATGTCGCGCCTTGTTACGGTCTACCTTTACTACGCTAGACGATTTTTGTGAAGATTTTCTTATGCCGGCGACTGAACACGATATTTTAGTTCGTTTCAATTTGAATGATTGATATATCTCTTCGGTTACAAGTTGTTCTGGGAACCAGAATCTAATAATACACGACGCATAGTTATATGTATAGTATTGCAGTGGCTCTTTTAATGTCTTGCTCACTTTCGCCTAATATTACCACGTCGTCAGCATATGCTAGTAATGGAAGGTTTCGGCCCCAGTTAATTCTTTGATATTCTTCTTGTACTTCCCTTACTGCCATCTCTAGTACTATGTTAAATAGTATTGGTGATAGTGCGTTACCTTGTTTTAATCCTGTTGTTTGAAATTCTTCTTTTAATATTTTGTACCAAATTGTTCAACAATGCGGCTCTTTTGTTACTAATACTTAGCATAAACATTTATTTTGACGTTACTTTGTACACAAGTTACACGTGTACGTATATTTTCCAGAGTTAAAAACATAAAAACTAAATTAAGATCATTCATTTCTAAAGATATTATGGAAGCTCTATTAATGATAAACATTGATAAAGATTATATTGTTGTAAATACTATTGCTAAAAGAGTAACAGAACTATCAAGGATATTGATTTGAGATGTTATTCATATGAATTATTTAATTTGTTTGACCTTTTATAACTTTAATATTAATTTAAAAAATGTATTATATTATAAAAATGATGTACTTATTGTAATTTGTTAATTGTAATTAAAATAAATATGAAACTATGTCATAATTGAAATCGGCGTTTTCTTTATAACGTTTGATGTCACAAGTGGTATATCTAGTGTAGAGGCTATGCCCCAGTGGCGTGAAGTATTGTATTTAAGAAAATAAATCACAAGAATAACAAAAATATATTTTCTTAATATTCTGACAATTTAAAATTAAGTTAACAAAAAACTATAAGAACAAATACAATTTTAAAAAAGGTCGACAATTGATAAAATGATAAGAGGTTTAGACATAAACAAGTCTGGCTAAAATATTTATTTTCTATAAAAAATTTAGTTACCCTAAATATTATAAACATCAATATAAATAATTACTTAATCTTGATCGTTCCAGTAGAAATTATTCATATTTTGTGAATTATTTCAATTCCAAATAGAATCTTATTTTATATGAATATATAATATAAGTATCTAGTATACAATATATACTGCACACTGTATTAGTGAATACATAAATAAAAAAGAAATACATATCCAAAAGTCAGTCAATAGTATTATATTATTTATCCTTTAGTAAATATTATATTTACTTATTAATTATTATTGTTATTTATGTTTACAGTTGAAATGGAAAACCACCCTCGCTGTATCAAAAACATGGATGTCATAGCATGGGTTCCTGGTATTCCCGGATATGGTCCTAAATTTCCTGTACCAGCTAATTCCCAACATGGAACTCTTTGTTTAAAATACAAAGGAATGAAAATCTTCAGTACGTAAAGTCTAAAAAAAATTATTGTAAACAATTCGTCGTTTATGAAGATAATGTGTTTCCTAAGGTTCTTTTGTCACCGAATTTTGCGTATAGTAGATGTTTCATATTATTTTATTTTATATATCAATATTATTAACTACTCAAAAAAATTAGTACATTCCTCAAATTAATCATAATCTAAAATTAGTTTAAAACATTTTACATTTGGTGTTAACGACGAGAAAAAAATTATAACTAAAGTAGAATAAGATTTATAAGTGCTTAATAAACTTATTTTTCTTGTTATTTTTAGTCCCATGTAAATCCACTAAAATACAAAGCGACAGCAACATAGCTAAGGACGTCAAAGAAAAAAAAAATAATGTCAATGATAAATTTAAAAGCAGCAAGTCACCTACTCAAATCAGGTATAAACCAGCAGACTCAGAATATACAGTAGGAGAAGTAAGGAGTTATTCGGAAGGACAAAAGTTTTCTGCTGTGCCCATAAAACGTTCTGTTGGTGTCCAATGGAATGTTGATGATATCGAAGGCACGTCTAAATTGATTAATCCATTGCAGACATCGAATAAAACATTTGATTATATTGAAAATGTGAGTTTACCTATACTACAAACCAAATAATAACAATATTACAAGGGGGAGGGGTTTTTTGGGTCCGAACCCTCCCATTGAAATTTCTACATATCTACTCAAATATTCAATTGAAAATAGTATAATAATAGTATATAGTGTATTTTAATTTTCCATTATCTTCTATATACAATGTTTATAGATTATCTATATAATATACCTACCTAAAATATATAAACCATACTATAGTATATTAATAGTAATTTGTTGGAATTAAGTTAAGCTATAATTATAATTACAAAACAGATAAAATAAAAATGTTGGGCCCCCCATAAAAAATTCCTGGGTACGCTCCTACAATATTATATAATGCACATATTTAATCATGTTTTCCATAAAATTTTTTACAATAAAAGTGGAAGAAATGTTATTAAATGACATCTGTAACGTGGCAATAATCGATTTTACAGAAAAAGTTGACTGCGGATACTAAGAAAAGTAATCGATTCAATAAAGACATAAAAGTTAAAAAATTTCAAGTTCCAGCGGTGGTTAATCATTACAGAACCATCATGAAAAAACCTGTCAACAGTTTCGATAACAATGTTAACAATGTGTCGGTAATATATGATATAAGAAAAGAATTTGGTGGTGGGGACAGCGAAGGATTAAACTTGATTGAAAAAGAAAAACTTAATTTTAAACATGGTACTGTAAGACGTTTAATCAAATTATTTGAGAATATGAATGCTGCTTCGGCATACAAAAAAATAATATAAGTTAAAATATAATTCAAAAAATCTGAATTCAGAACACTATTCAGTTAGTATCGCATTATAAAATAATACTAAAAACATTGTGTTGTTATATATTTAAGAATAAATTGTAAATAATTGTTAATAAAGATATATTCTAATATAATATATTCTATCAATTTAATATTTTATAAATAAAATATGATATCGCAGACCGCTTGTTATGAAACGATTTAATCCACGATGTATTAATATTAACATTAAATTTAATTAAATAACTAAAATAATTGAATGGGATATAAGTTAAACCATCCAATTTCGTTAAAATTATATTTTATAACAAAATCATAAAGAAAATATACAGTTGACCTTTCAACGCTTCCGTACGTATCGAACCTATCTTCGGGTTGGTTTGACTTTCAACCGTATAATCACGTTTGAATTTATTGGACGTAAATTAGCGATACTATACTATATTATCGATATATGTATAAGTATATATATTAATTAAATTGTTGTTAGTTCTTAAAATAATTTAATCTACTGTAACAGTACTTGATACATGGTTATTAGTAGGGCGCGGATTTCAATGCAAAATGCATTTTTTTTCTAAATCCTTACGCAATGCTGAGTTTGGCAAAAATATATTTCAAGCAGAGGCGCTGACTTGTATTTTATTTGGTGGGGTGAAGTTTAAAAAGCTGCATTTCACCTCTGATCTTTGTTCCTACCGATTCGCATGTATTTTATTTTAGTGTCGTTAATTTTGAGACCCCATTTTTTTTTGCGCTTCGTATCAGTAATTCAGTTGCTCTTTTAATGTCTTGTTCACTTTCGCCTAATATTACCACGTGGTCAGCATATGCTAGTAATGGAAGGTTTCGGCCCCAGTTAATTTCTTGATATTCTTCTTGTACTTCCCTTACTGTCACCTCTAGTACTATGTTAAATAGTATTGGTGATAGTGCGTTACCTTTTTTTAATCCTGTTGTTTGAAATTCTTCTGAATTCTCGTGATCAAATTTGAATGCGCATCTTGACCCTTCCGTGCTCACTCTTATCATCGATATTAGTTTTGAGGGAACTCCGAACAAATTTAGGCTTCTCCACATTTTTGTTCTTTGTATGGAGTCGTATTTCTGTTTAAAGTCTATAAAGATTAAATGTAACGGTTTGTTAAACTCATAGTATTTTTTTATTACTTGTTTAAGCGTGAAAATATGGTCTATTTGTTGATCTGCCTAACACGAAACCACTCTGATATTCTCCTATGATGTTATTGGTGTATGGTCTTAATTGGTTTAGTAGAGAGTTCGATAATATCTTGTATGCTGTGTTGAGTAAGGATATTCCCCTTTAATTCTTTACATCCATGGGGTCCCATTGTTTATATATGGGACATATTATCGATAGTGTTCGAGTGCGGCGCGATGATTTCGGTATTCTCCCCGATGGCGACGCTCTCGAAATAGGTCTCCCGTACGAGACGTAATTGTGTCGTGTGGAATCGAGTTTCTCTCAGTCCGGCGGCCTGTGTAGAACGTGAGCGCTCCGTCCACTGTCAAGTGACTAAAAATGTCAAGTTTTTGAGTTACAGGTCTATTGGGTAAATTATCGGGATTGTCTTTACTTGAGTCGGTTGGTTTTCCTACGGGATTCAGCATATATTTAGCATAGTAATAATGAAAAACGTTTTCCTGACATAATTGCCCGGAAATATTCAGGAGAAAAACCGTCAGTATTCCACAAATCGTGTAGGTTCAAATGATTTCTACGCAAATACCCAGCCAAGTACAATAATCCTAAAAGGGCATCTATTTCTTCTTTCGTAGTATCAAGCATATCCTTATTATTTTGATAATTTGCACGGATTTTCGCTAAATATTTATTAGTACACTCAACTATATCTATAACTACAGTATCAGGAAAAAATAACTTCCAGCAATCCAAGACTGATTTGGCATCCTAGCGATTCTTTCCACTCCGGGCAAATGCAAAAAAATCTTACGACGACGAGTACGGATGTTTGAAGGGGAATTATTTTTATACCATTTAGTTATTTTATCTTTCCCCAATAAAAACTCTGGTTTGGAAATTATAGTAATATTTTCACCTAAAAGAGAAGGTGATTGACGACGTACATTTGATGTAGTTTGATCGGTGTTTTCATCACTATCACTTTCCACATTTTCAATAAAAGTCAGAATCGGCATCGGTATCATCGGAATCAAATAACGCGTGTTCAACAAGCAGAATCAAACGGATTAACTCCTTTGTCTACACGAGCTAATCTTTCTTTTAATTTAGAACCAGGTCCACAAAACTGATACCCTGGTACATGAGCTTTGAATGGAAGCTTATTTATAAGAGTATTTAAGAAGACTACCAGATTTTAACTTATGAGTTGAACGCATTTTATATAACTGGCTTTATATTTTAGAACTCTTTAGTATTTATATATAAAAAAAAAAATGAAATTAATCGAGCAAAAAGATAAGTTAGCATTGATAATGTTGATGTACAAATTATTAAAAAAACATCAAGACACGGACCATTATTACCAGATAGTATTCGTGTGAAACATGTTTAAAAATAGCCATATTTGATATTTCCATGGTTATTAACGATCACACGTGACGGCCGCTGATCAGAGCGACACTAGCGATTACAAGTTACAACGTTATCCGATCGTACTAACAAGGCTACCGCAACGCTTTAAAGCGGTATCCGATTATTTCCGCGCAACGTATTTTGTATTGCAGTGAGCGATCTATACTATTTATAATCAATGATAATAACTATCAGTATTTGTATTCTTATACATTGTTTTTCATTATATTAATATTATAGTTTAAATTTATGCTATTTTTAATTAAGTTAAGATTTCAACTATACCTAATTATTTATGAAAATTTCTTTAACCAGTTTAAAAATATACATATATATATAAAAAATTTAGATCTTAATTCCAATATAATGGAAAAAGTAAAAGCCACATTCAATGTAAACGGTACTATATAACTAATATACATTTTTTGTCAGCAATTCAGAAACTTATATATTTACCAATATACATCATACTTAATGTATTTATATTAATATATATATATTATAAAGTACTTACTAGTATTTAGAAGTTTGCATAATTAGTGTTATATTAAATACATACATTTTTTATACAAATAATCACTACTATTCCATCACACCATAAATAAACAAACAGAAAATTGTATTGCATTACCATTGAAAGATATTATGTTTCAGTAATATAATCATAAATAATTGCACATTTTAAAGAACTGCAGTTGGAAATGGAACACCAGGTAGCTCTTTTTCCATAAGATGAGCAAGTGTGTAGTATGCGTGGCCTATTCTGAGATGATTTAATATAACTTCATCTCCACGTTTAAGAGATTTAGGGATATTCCATTCTTGTGGTTTTTGTAATTTCATTTAATTTAGTGTTTATATATAACCATTAATTTTGTCATTTATATTTAAATTGATTGTGAATAATTTTATTTAGATCTTTCTTTACCAGAGTTCGTATTTCAGCGTTGTCATTGATATGAGTTGTGTCCATTAACTTTAGCTAGTATGACTATTCTTTCATTACCAGTTATTCCGCAATGCCCGGATATCCACGAATATATTATATTATTATTACATGTATTATTACTTTACCTAACCTTATAACTAGACCAGAGTTTTATGCATTTGCATGTTTATACTGAGTGTATGCATTTATAACAAGGTTTGAAATGTTATAAATTCAGACTTGATTCCAAATTTAATTTTGCATATAATTGCATGTTTGGAGGGTTGGGGAATATTTTTTCTTAAGTGCATATTTTTGATCTTAGTAAATAATCAAATTATTTCATGTTTTCATTTTGAAATATTGGAATTTTTAATACTGGCAAACAAAAATAACTGTCAACATGATACAGTTATATCTCATATAATACAATACTACAAGTGTCGATAAATTATTATCTGACAAATGAAATTACATTAAACATAAATAAAGCACAAACATGGCTCCTAAAAATATGGAAAGGTATATTGTAATTAATTGCTAAGACAAAAAATAATGGTTTTTTTTTTAAATTTAAATATTTTGTTTATCAACTATTTAGATGAGAAAGGATTAATGTTTAACACTTCTATATAATTTTGTTTCTTTAAATTATTTAAAAAAATATATAATGGTGTTTTTTTTTAAATTTAAGTATTTTGTTGATTATATAAAGGTATAAAGTAATATAAATTTATGATGTATATCTGAACATATTTTTCAATTATTTGTGCATATAATTCCAGTCTTTACTTATAACTAACCAAAGGTGTAAGTAATGATTATTTATGGAACGAGGGTTTGATATAATTATGTACTACTATTTTTATTATTACCTATTTATTTACTAGCTGGAATTTTGACATAGAGGAGAGAATTTAAACCTTCAAACTCCCAGTATAGCTACTGTAACTAACTCGCTATTCAACAAACATAAAATTTTTTTTAACAATCTTATGCTAAAAACTACTTATGTTTTCAACTATAATTTCAAATGCTGTTATTAGATTTAATAGAAACTAAATGTAGTGTTTAATAATCAAAAACAAAAATATTACAAATAACAAATGTAATAGTTAATATTGAATAGAATTAAAATGTATTTGGTGTGAATGTACTTAAAAATGATTTTTTTTTTTTTGGAAATTTGATATATATTGACTCCAAGTTTTCATAAAATCATTTTATTTTATTTTGGTATTTCTATTGTAAAGAGATTAAACTGTAACATTAATTTTTGGGCATTTTTATAGTTAATTAAAAAATAAGAAAATTGAGATCTTATCCAGAAAAATTTATAATTTTGATTTAAAACAGTAACATTAAATAAATTGTAACAATTTTGGGTCAGTATCAGTAATTGTGCAACAAAAATTTATTCAAAAATATAATTACTTGAAGGACAAGGATATTGAATCAAAACATATTTTGGTTTTTAAGAATGTTCTTATATTAGATAATAATCAAATGTCAGAAATTATAAGTCATTTACTTCCCTCAAACGTCTGATTGCGGATCTTACAGTAGTTGCAGCTGTTGTGGAATATACATATGCTCCTCCAGCTACAGTCCTTCTACAACGTTTGCAAGACCAGATTCCAACACACGCCCTCTTCATAGATTCCTAAAAAAAAAAAATTAATAAAATTAGATCCACTTAAAAATCCATATATAGTAAATTTTTATGATAGACAAAGACAGATAATGTTAAATTAATAAAACATTTCATATCAATAACAAAGTAGGTATAATATTATTAACTAAAACCATAAGATATGTAAAGAAAACAATAATTGTAAATGAGTATACATAAGTACCGTATGTAGAGTTAATGTAATAAATTTAAAATTTAAGAAAAATCTAATTTTTAAAAATAATACTAATATAAACAAAGTAGTAACATTAAAAAAACAAATATTTTTGATAAAATACAACATAAAATCTCATTATTTTATTTACAATATCTGGTAACAAATTTGAACTCTTGTCAATATCAATTAATTGGAAATTTAAAACAATATTTTTTCACGAATAAATTTAAACATAAAAATGTAAAATTATTTTTTTTATAAAAATGTTTATTTTAGAAATAATTTGTGATTAAACATTATGATACTCAGAAAATCAAAAAACATTTAGACATAACAAGTAAATTACATGAAACATTATATTTTTGAAGATGTATTAACAATAACAATATAAAAATGCAATGAAAATGTAATTTTGAGCTAAGTAAAAGTAGTGAAAGTAGTTTCATAGAAGTAAACACAATAAGATTTAGAGATAATTAAAACCTTCCATTTGCTGACAAAAAATTATAAAATATAAAAATTTCTTATGCATTTAAAAACCTCAATATAACAAAGCGATATTAATTTAAACTACATTGATATTTAGTAAGATCAATATAATACAAAACAACAATATTGAAAGTAACATGTTACATTTTTTACCTCCAAAAATAAAATTAAAATATTTAAAGTGGATGAGTTGTAGGACATAAATTTTGTAATTTAAATTGGTAAAAATATATTTAACTGTTATTAAGACTAAAAATAAAATAAAAACATAAATAAAAGTATGACATACAATGATAGAAGTCTATGAGAAAATATGTACTATTATTAAGATGTACTAAACTTGACTCTTCATATCGATCATTGTAGCAATAATTAATAATTTAATTTAATAATATTCTTACTTTGCCGCAGAAAGAACAGGTGTATTTGCTGTGCTGGGTGATTTCGATCTTCTTGACCATCTTACGCAGCGAGGCACCATATCGGGTACCATATTTACCTACGATTCCTACCTTCTTGGTACGTTTGGCCTGTAAAATATTAAGGATATAAATCCAATCGGAGGAAAATTGTTTACAAACATCAAATATTCAATTTAAATTCAAATTTAATTAAAAAACCAAATAGAAGTTTTTCGCAAACGTTTACGAAACATTCAGTAATAAACATAATATGACAAAAAGGAGTTCTAAGATTTTACGAAATGTCAAGGAACGACTTCAAGAATAATTCAACGAAAAAATTCGTTTCACTTTAACCGAAACGATCGGTAGGATAATTCGAGATGAAACTTACCATTTTGACGGTGCTGAAGTTTTTCTGGAAAAACTTAATTAAACGACACAAACAAGAAGTGTCGGGACTAGAGAAAGAAAAAAGATTTCAAGTGATTGCGAATGGTTTGAGGTTATTTAATATTTTAGTGTTTCCAAAGACATTCCGAAAAATTTCATTTTGCTATCCTATTTCATTTTTTCGGTTTACCGTGTTCTCGAATTTTATTTCCTCGAATTGTTTAGCGATTCTAAACAATTGTCCATTATAATTATTTAAACCCTCCAAGTTTTAGGAATCGAAAAATAAATTCAAGATTCCAACAAATTTATTGATGTCGAATTTATGATGTTGTTACCGAAATACCAACATCGCGTTATCATGTCTGTGATTACCGTAATCAAGCATAGACCGCGATCGTTCCATAGAGTAATATTACTCTATGGTTCGTTCTTATTCATTATCAAAATATTATCAATTTTATCATTCGTCGTGTGTCAACTGGTACGAGTTGTTAAATAACGAAATATTTAAAATTGTCCAACAACCGAAACGGTTCTTAATTGAAATAACCTACGACTCGGTATATGTAGAAATAGTAATTGAACGAAGACGAACATTTCTGATTTTAATTTTTTTTTTTTTTTTGCCGAACCAAGACGTCGACAATTAAATTGAATGTAAATTGTTGTTGTGTCGGAAATGTTTTTTATTCCCATATAAATAATCCGCCCTTAACATGTTTGAACTTGAAGATTTTGATCTGGACGATGAAGTAAACTAATATTAATTATGTAATACAATGTAATACAATTACAGATATAGAATATTATGCGTGTTATTAAACACAATACAATTGGGCCTTTATCAGTTTTTCCAATAGTTAACACAACCGATTCATATTGTACTTGTCAAACAATCTATTATTTATATTATTATTACTATCCTTATTTTATAATGTAATCATTACATATTTATGTATTATTATTTTTTAGGTGTTTCTTAATACCCAGATGCCTACTATTAATAAATCACCAATAAAGACATCAAAATCAACCGATATTCCTATGAGTTTCGAAGACAATAATGAAGTATAGTGTACATTTAAATTTGTGATTTATTTTTATGACTGAAATACTTATTACAATATGTTTTTTAGTCATTTCTTAATGTATCAAATTCAGTTTTTGAATCTTCCACTTTACAAAACATAGAACTTAGTAATGAATCATCAACAGAACAAAATAAAAATAAATCTTATCTAAGTAATGAGGTAAGAGTAAATGTAGTTTTTTTTTAACCAATATTCAAATTATAATTCAATATTTTTTATTAGCCAAATCTATTAACTTAAAAAACATTTTAAACTATTAGAAAATATAAAAATGTAATGTAACTATTATTATATAAGGTCACTCAGAACATGTTTATGATAGAACAGGAATCAAATACTACAAAGCCTTTAGATGAATGTCAGTCCAGTAATAACAAATTGGATTTTGATGATGGTTTTGATTCTGACGATGAAGTAATATTTTTTATCATTATATTTATAAATATATAATATAAAATTTAATGTATTATAATATTATTATATTTTTTTTTTTTTTTTTTAGGCATTTTTCAACACTCCAAATATTTTAAATGAAATTGAAAATTCTCTCAAGACCAATGACTATAGTGCAGAATTAAATGTAAACAGTAGTCATAATGAGGTGAACATATTGATAAATAGTAATTTATTATAATCAATATTAATGAAAAATGTATTAATTCATACTTTATTGTTGATACTAGAGTGAAACCAGTTTGAAGTGTGAAAATGACAAATCAATATCAACTATTTCAAATATTAAAAGTAATTTAAAATAACAGTATTTTTCATTTTAGGAAGTTAGGGTTTCGTTTTTAAAATAACTCATTATTAATATTTATTTTTTATTTCAGTATTGAATATACAATATTAACATCATTGTTTATTATTATTTTTCAGGTTCCAATAAAACAAGCAATAAAGGTCTTCTAAATACAACTATTACTAGTATAAAAACAACTATTCCAAAATGTGCTTCAAGAAAATTTCCTGGGCCAGCTGGATTACTCTCAGAAAATGTAATAAATTTGAATATACTTATATGTGACAGTAAATTTTATTATAAATAAATTATTTTTTATTCTGAATTAAACAAATACTTACAGATAGATATATATTCAGAAGATCCCTTACACTTGGAATCTCTAGACATGTCAATTAACATTAATGAAAATGATAAAAAAGAAGAGGTAATTAACTTTAATTCTTCAAAAATGTTTTTAATTTAAATAAAATTTATAAACATGATTCATTTAAAATGTGCTTCAATAGTGGCTTTATGTAAATTAATTTTATTAATTTGGCATTATATTATTGTGTTAAATTTAGAATTTATGTACTCAAGCAAATGATTCATCATTCTCTTCGTCACCATATCAGCAGTTCTTATCAGATTTTTTCACTACCGATGTCGATATTTTATTAGATAAATATAACGTAGCCTGGATAAAACAAAAACTGCTTCCATACACAGCTTCTGGTCGTTTTTTTACAGACAAAATACCATTTTTTGTTTCTGTCATAAAGGAGATTGATTGTCTTTCACCAGATCCAACAGTAATCCTTGCTGACAAGACAGGATACATCAGAGGAACAATTCATAGAGCAGTTTGGAACCAGTTTAGTTGCCAACTAAAAACTGGCGCTGTTCTCGTTTTATCGAAAGTTGGAATATCGTGTCAAAAAATTATAAACAGTTTCACATTGAATATCACTAGTGATCATTTAATTGCTATTTACAGTTTTTCAATAGGTAAGCTAGACTGTATTCAACTCATTAAATATTTACCAATGAATAGTGATTCATTTTCACATTTTTATATTTATAGAAGACAGTGATGAAGTAATTGTCACTCGCACAACAGAACTGAGAAATGAAGACATTGTAAATGAAGCTATACGACACAATATATGTAATGTAGAAAATTTAAATAAAAATCCACATTCTGAAATCAGGAGTCGGATGAATGCGCTTAATAATTTAAAATTGCACAACATTTCGCTAGAACATGATTTACAACAGTTAAACACCAACTACCAAACTTCTAATAATACAAAAAACACTTCTAACCAATGGACACCTATTAAAAATGTCTTTAAACCTAAAACTCCAGTGGCACAGAAATTATTTAAAAATCATTCTAATAATTTATTAGAAGAACCACCTGCTAAACGAACAAAAAAAGAGCAGTTCATAATAAATACTGAATCAAACAATTCAAAGAATGAAATGTCTATTATTCAGAATATATTTGATGGGATTAATGAAGATGAAATGTTCAATGATTTTTGTTGTTAATATTATGGAATTATATATTGGAAAATTATTTCGTTTCAAAGGTGCTTTTTAATTTCACTAGATAAGTATTATATTTGTTTCCTTGATTTACTATTAAATTATTAATAAATGTTCTCGCTTCTAGTGTATACATAGAATACATAGTATACAATTATTCATAGTATCCTTATGAAATTCCTTGTACTAAAAATTTTTTCTGCTTAAAATATTTTTCAATTTTATTGATTTCTCAACTAGTTTTACCAAATATTGTTCTATAATTTATTACATTTACTATACAGATATTTTAGATTTTGAATGAAATGAAAAATGTATTGATTTTACCATGATGCCCTTTTTTTTTTTTGAAATTATACAGAACTGACTAGAAGGACTGCTCTGATTACCACAGTCATATAAGATTTCAGATGGAAAATGTTGCTAATTTGTACTTTGAAAGAGGTCATTTTACAAATTTCCCAACAGATTTCTTCAATTTTTTAATAAATGGACAAAACGTTATATAAATATGGCAACATTTAAGGTATATTATTTATTGACAAAATTAAACTTTTGTTTTTCATAGCAAAAAATAATAATAGTAGACATGCATTTTCACTGTATGCTATAGATAGTATAATTTTCAAAATATTTTTTTTTGTTTTTGAGGTATTTATAAATATAAATATTAAAAATTTGGATGTTTTCTTAATTTTATCTTATTTCAAAAATGTAATACGAAGTTCCTCATACATCATGTAATAGATTAGATCTGTCTCTTTGTCTTAATTAGACTAATATATTGTATTTTTCTTTAATGTAACTTTTGAAATAAAATATTTTTAGCAATTACAATTGACAAAATATTAAATAAAATATATATTTTAATTTAATTAACAATTTAATATTAAATATACAAAATAAAATTATGCACAAGCGCATTATCACACTAATCAAATTAATTAATTTGTAAAAATCTATGACTTTCTTAATGGTGTAAGAAATTTTTATTGTTATGAACATTGATGATATTGCATTTTATTTAATATAAAAACAGTAAAAAAAAACTTAATTATCAATAGAAAAAAAATGTATTAACTCATTTACATAATTTAAGTTTTCAATTCCTCATAGTATAATTAATTAACAGCTATCACATATATACATAATAATATAAGTATATATTAGATATAAATTAATACCTATGTATAATTGTGATTGCTATTTACAAATTATTTTCATATAAATACCTTCAAGTTTTGGGATTTAACATTTAGTAATTTTTAAATATAATATAAATGTTTCAAAAAAAAACAAAAAAAAAACAAAATATATAATATATAATTAAAATAAATTGACCTAACATTAATAAACTAAGCAGTCAAGTTTTAAATTATAATTGTAAAAGTGCTTGATTAAATATTGAATTATTCACAGGTGTTATGGTACAATAATTATAAATTTTATTGCAAACCTGACTCAAACTCTAAATGGCATCACAGTTGATATAGGCTAGTTTATTAGTATTAGGCCAATGCGTGAAAAAAAAATCCCAATATTTGGAAGTAATGTAACCATACACAAAATGGTCTACTCCAATTTTATACTGAACATTACTGAAATAGGGTATATTAATTTATCACAGTGTATACGAGCAATAATAAATAATAACAATAATCAACAAGTATACAGAGGATAATATTTTAATAATCTTGATTATTCATATACAAAAATAATTATAGAAAAAACAGTACATTTTTTTTTTTAATTTAGACACATGAATGGTTGTTATCTATCCAACATAAATAGTTTATTTATTTGTACTGAACAAAAAAGTTTTATTACAAAATTTATTTGAATAAAAATATCTGTAATCAGTGTAACTAATGTACACTCAAATCTGATACTGTGGTAACTTGATGGCGATTTTCCGTCTAAGTATGCATGTGTGAGTCAACGTAGTAATGACAAATACTAGTATCACCGCCCAAAGTTCATCATTAAAATACAGAAACCAATCTATACCTAATAACGTCAAAAACAATAACCATCCTTTTCTCCTTCTATGCATTTGTTTGTGTGTAAGCACATACATTTGAGCTAACCGGAAGAGAATACTACAAAAGTGAAGCCAACCAGTATCCAAAGACTCATCTTCCTAAATACAGAGCAATAATAATATTGTCAAACACATTCAGTACATTTTAAACATATTCATTTAAATTTTAAATTATTATTTCAATTAATTTACAGTCAATATTAAATTATTATTATTATTATTATTATACTTCAAACTTATATTTCAATTTTTTGTACATAATTTTACTTTTTCATTGTATTTATTTTAAATGTTATTAATTATTACTATTGGACAGATTATAAACACAACCTACATTGACCCTTATGAATTTATTCTAATTTTTTAACACGTTCTGAAAAAAAAGTTTTTATCTTTTCCATCCCAGATATTTAACATCAACTTATGACAATATTTTTCAAATAAATTTTCAGGTTTTATATAAATTAATATTTACAAACACTACATATAATATAAAAATAAATAAATAAAAGTTTGGAGTATTATTTTACTAGTAAATTATGGTACAGTAGTAGTACAAAGTATAGAACAGAATGTGTTAAAAAGTTAGAATAAATTCATTAAGGTCAATATAGCTTATATTTACAATCTGTTCAATAGAAAAAATTAGTAACATTTTAAATATATACAGCTATTAAACTATATAAGTAATAATACCTCACTTGACCAACTTCTCCACATATCCATAACTGACACAAGACTATAAAAAATTAAACAAACAGTAAAGATTAAAGATGTTTTGTCAATGAAAGACAATGGTTCTAAAGTAGGCAGAGGTCCAACTAAAAATATAAATAAAATAATTAGTATTTATTTTTTAATTATTTAATATAATTTAATTCAAATTATTTGTAAAAATAATATTTATATTACCTCTAACTGTAGGAGGAATAACTCGTGGCGCATGAGTTTTATTATCGTTTTCTTCAATAATAAACACTTCTTGAGGAGGATCTAATGTAATATCACGAGTAATTTCAGCCAAATTAATTCTTGAAGTTAGTTGCTGTGGTTTATTATACATTTGCTGGATAGGATGTATCGTAGTATCTAAATAATACATTTAAAAAACATAGTTCAAACTAACTACTTTGAATGTGTTTTAAGTTTTAAATATAATTTACCAAATTCAATGAGATTGTAAGGCCTTAATGCTTGATCAACTTTATGACGGTCATATTTTTTTGTAAACTCTCCAGCTAGCTCTTCTAAAAAGCTGTAGGCTAATACTTGAGGATATGAAGGAATGCACATTGCCATGCATATTATATTTAAACATGGTAAAAAGCTAGAACAAATATAGTATATTAAATGTTTGTTAGTTTAATGATAAATTAATGATGTTTTTAAAATAAATGGTAGGAAGTAAAGTAAAATTGATTTTAAATAGGTAAAATTACTTCAAATTACTTCCATTTCATATTTTAAGGTAATGATTAAAACTAATTTTTGCTAAGAACTGAAATCAATACATTTTGATTACATAGCGATACTAATTATATTATAATACAAGAGATTATAAAATGAGCATACCTATGTTTAAAAATATAAATTTTACTAACAAAAACCAACAACTGATGTCAAATATCTGTTTTAAAAAAATAATGTACACTATAATTTTATAGTGTATGATTAAATTATTTAGACATAAATACAGTAGTTAAAACTTAACATTAGAAGTATAAACTGATTTCAAAATAAATGCAATGCAAGTTTACATTTCCTATATGATTAGCAACATTCAACAGAGTTTCTGTAAAATAATTAATTTAAATATCGATGAAAAAACAAACCTTTGGTGGATAAAAATAAAATATAAATATGCAGAAACATTAAGGACTTTTCCCAAACATTTAATATTTAATATAAGGTACCTATGCATCTTATGAAATACGAACAATGAGCATGTTGAATTATTGTAAAACAAATGACCAAAGAAATGAAATTTCCAGGCGTACAGACCTATTACCTATTTAGAAATGGTCAAGAGCTAATACGGTGGGGCGCTTCCTTCAACTCTCAAATAATTATCACAAGCGAGCCAGTAGTAATACGTACTAGTAGATCCTGTCATTTAACCGTAGGAAACATTTGTTTTTAGGCGGATCGGTTTTCTTCAGTACGTTCTTGACGATTTTGTTGATTAATTTCAAGTCGATGGCACTCTCTCCATTGCTGCACTGGTAATTGGTGGTGGACGTCAGCGGTAGGAGGTCCCGGCTTCTAAGAATCAAAGCATACAAAATCATGTCCCGGCGTTGACGCGGTGCCCGGGCTTCACGAAAAACGCAAATTCATAATTAATAACCGCCGACGACGACGACGACGACGACAGAAGTCCGTGATCACCGCGATCACCGTTCGCAGCGCAGTGGTTATCAGAGGCGTACGAACGCTGCAGCAAGTACGTTTGCATATTATTAGATGCTATCAAAGCCGACAACGAAATACACGTAGTATTATTATTATTATTAATGTTCTCGTGGCTACTATCAGTTTTCGTTATCACGGCTCCTGCTTATCAACGCCAATGCGAACGGAAAATGTAACCGTCCCGGCCACGGTCATCGGGATAACTGCAGTGCCGTCACAACAGCCGCGAATCCTAGGGGTTGCGGGCGAAGGTGGCGCACGCCCCCTTTCAAAATCCCTAAAAATAGGTTTGTGTTATGTACAATATAACATATTGGGTTTCCGATTATTTTTCAAAGTTCATTACATCAACTAACTAGAGTACTATTAGATTACGAAGTATAATATAATTATATATTTATTGCGTAGTGACTAGTGTTTAAGTGTGTTACTGCGCCCCTGCGGTAAAACATTTTTTGATCCACCACTGCGTCACAAATGTCCGAAACACGTCGCGTCGAGCCATAATCATAATACGAATATATAATGAAGGTAATAATACATTACGCGTCGATGCCGGGGCGGATAGGCAAAAATTTACTGGGAATATATTAATGAGGCAGTATTAATTATTCTAACCTCTGTGGTTTCGGGGTAAGAATGGTAACACAGTAACTCCTTATTATAGAAATAAAACGGGAACCTAGTTCCTAAGAAAATCAAAAAACAGTTTCGGAACCTTTTCACAGCAAACACTATCAGTTTTGAGACAAGAAAAGCTCAGATAAAGAGCTTTGTATGAAGTTTAGCACTATATGGAGCTGAAAAATGCACGATACTCAAAGCAGGAAAAAGAAGGATCGAAACGTTGGAAACATGATGCTGGAGAAGAATACTGAAAATTCCCTGGACAGATAGAGTAAAAAATTAAGGAATATTCCAAAAAATGAGCGAACAAAAGATAATATCGAAAACAATCAAGGAAATAAGGAAAAATGGATTGGATATATAATAAGAAACATTGAATGGATAACAAAAATAATAGAAGAAAAGATAGACAGAAAAGCCGGAAGAGGTAGACCAAGAACACCATTTAAGAATCAAATCATAGAAGATATAGAAAAAACCAATTACAAAGAATTAAAAGTAGCAGTAATGGATAGACCCCAGAGGAGATCTATCGAAGTCATTGAACCAATCTAAGGAATGAAAACATAAAATAAAATAATTTTCTACGAATGGTATACAGTCAAGGATATAAAAACTCTTTTTTTAATGAAATATAAAAACACTAAAACCCAATTACATAGATATTAGATATACATGAAAGATGAATAATATACAATTATTCAAATTAATAATAACTAAGTTTTTTAAACTAAAAAACTTTTTTTGATTGTTCATGTTATAGGTAATTCATACATAATATAACTTGAAAGATTACATATTGAAAAAATGGTATCACACAAATCTTGACATTAAGAAATAGCTTATTATCAACTGTATTTACATAAATAATTACATACCTATTATATATATTATTTATTGTAAACCACAAACTAAACTGTTAACTGTGTTTTCGTTGGCAGAATATTTCGGTATCGCCAGATTTCTCTGATCTAACGTCGTTTTTTCTTTCCGTACATACGTGTGCGGTTACGCTACTAATGTTGAATCATTTTTCAAAGCCGCAGTTCGGTAACAATGTCTTGAGCAATTACACTTGATCAGAGGTGGAATTAGGAATTTTTACGCCCGGGGGAAATTTTAAAATTACGCTCTATCAATAATCAAATACTCTTCTGGAGAATTCTTTTCTAATAATTAATATACAATCATACTTATTGCGTTTTAACCTAACATCAGTATTTAACCAAATTAAAAATATCAAATTAGTTGTAAATAATTACAAAAATTACACTTTCTAAAATTTTACTCTCGGGGATGAATCCCCGTCTTTCACCCCTAGTTCCGCCTCCGCACTTGATATCAAGATCATCTTTTTTAGGTCTGGGTCACTTCACTTGCTGCGATAGCCTTTGAGCGCAACGAAGTTAAAGACATTTTCGTCAGGTGTAAGTTAGCGTTAAAGGTAATGTGTTGTGATTTTATTGTGTTCATTGATAGGACATTCACGTGTACTCAATGCCATATCTTCCAGTAAACACTATAAGCTAGTGCTTAGGGCGTGAATAGTTTTTAAAATTACATTCTTATTATATGTAACTAGAACTAAAATAAATGCATCTAATTATAAAGTGTTATATTTTATTTAAGCCAATATAATATTTAATTTTGAATATAATTAAAAAATTAGCTATTTAAGCATTTTTTACTACCATGTTTTGTATCATTATATTTTTTTATCATATTTTTATAATTAAGTTTTTAATATGAATGTATGTATGCATTTTTATAACAGCTGTAAACTTTTATTTTACATCATTAAAATTTTAAGTAATAAAGGAAACAACTATAATTGTATGCTTAAATAACATTTTTTAGACAAGAAAAATATTTATATTAAAAGGCGGCAACTTGTTTAGTGCTTAAAGCGGCACAATGGTTAAATCCGGCATTGCGTGTACTAGAACCAAGTCACGTTCACCCAAAATCGAAAGAATCTGTATTGTATCCGGGCACGGTCACTCGGGTTGCAAACTACAATAGTTTTCCATAACTGAAATTTTCAAATGTTCGTATGTTAATAACTTAATTGGTCTTTGATGGTATCTAGTCAAAATCGCAATGATAAGTATACGTATTACAATAAATAAATGTGCGTAATTATATAAATGTTTATCATGCGAAATTTGTTAGCTTCGTCAATTATACTAAATTAAAATGACAAAAAAACCAAATTCTATATTTCGCCAAACCGTTTTGCCACATTCGCTTCTGATGACAACAACGACGCAGCAACAACTAAGTCTTTAACCAACCTCAAGAATGCCCAGTTTACAAAGCTGCTCTCAAAAAAAATTTTCTAAGAGTAACTCTATAGAGCTATAGCAAAATACTCTGATTCCAACGCCCAGTCTAAAACCAAATTTTATGCGGAAACCATCAAAAATCAAAATTCATACACAGAACACAAAATTATCGATACTCTTTCAAGTTTTATATCTAATTTAAAATCCCTAATTAATCTCCTTATCTCTCTTCTGTCAATAGTCTTAAATGCTCTTACAACTAACAGTAGTATTTAAATTAAGAATAATCTAATTATATCCATTATCAATGTCAATTATAAAATCAAATATCAATACTACTAATGTTATATATACGTATTAATACAAATAATTAATAAACATGTAGATACAAAGATGAATAGGCCCATAGGGGAAAAGGAATTTTCACTGTGGGCCTTCGCTCTATATTTGTCAGTGCCCCCCTTGATACCATAAATTTTTTCATCGAAATTTATTATTTTTTTTTTTTATAGTTAAATTATTTAAATTAAATTAGGATGAATAAATATGATACATTTTTTTTTTAAATGCAAATTTTTTTTTTTCATTTTGGTAGCCCCATTAAAATATTTTTCTATAACAAAAAAACTATTTATCCACCTCTGTGTAGTTATCATTCTACAATTATAATTAATTTAGATTATAGGACTCTCAAATTTCTAATAGCATTCAACGTGCTGGAATATTTTAATTTGCAATGAATAAAAATAAAATAAAATGTTTATATTTTTTAATGTTTATTTTTTGTCTATATTTAGAAGCTATGCAATTGATAAGTATTAACGAATGCGCTTGTACATATTGCATCATACGTAAATATTTAATAAAATATTTGGAATAAAATAAAAATTATTTATTTATTTGTTGTGTTATTCAATCACAGTTATTGACGTTATTATTCAATTCATTATGGAAGTAAAATTCTATTTTTTTCCCCATTATTCCTCTTAAATTTTTATAACATGTAGACTAAGTAATAAAAATATTTTATGACATTAGATTTTATAAAAGTTGTATAATTTCATACGACTAGATTATAAATTATAGATTACCTAAAAGTTAATTAAAAGAAAACTATAAGCTAAGATTTATTCATAAATAAAAGTTTAAAAAAAAATTTTCGAACGTTGAGACTGTTCTTATATAGTTGAAAGAAAGTGAAATAAACAAATTTATTTTAAGTAACCTACAAAAAGTGAATTACTAAACATTAGCTTATACTTTAAAAATGAGCATGTATATATAAATACGATATTTTTTATGGTTAAAATGTTCTGTCATTTTTTTTTTTTTTTATGAAAAATTATGAAAATAGAAAACTGTCAATCACTGCCTGAAAATATTTATTTTATCTATCTGCAATATATTATACAATTATACATATAAAATGCCTATAAATAATTATACAGGCTATGAATATTGTAAATGTTCGACATCACTTTTATCAAAATACTCTTGTGTGATTATCATATTATTTAAGAATTCGTGTTCAAATATTTTATAATGTATATGTATCGTAATATCTAATAGCGATAAGCTGAAGGTCTGATAGCCACAAAGAATCAGCGTATTACGTGTAATCAAGGTTTATCTTGAGAAGGGAGATATTAATACAACCTATACACATGTAATATAGTATTTCACTGATATCATTTTGATGGACTATTTGTATTTTAAATTATTTTAATGTGTAGTTGAAGTAATTTTAATTTTTTTTTCCGTTTTTAATTTGCCTTTATTAGAAACATTACAGCAATGCAATTACATATTATAATACATTTCATTTTTTCACAAGTTAAATTGAGAAGCCAGAAGAACGGATGAAGTTGAAATTTATTTCAATTAAAGTCACTACTTTTCGAACTTTTATACTTCGAGAACCACTCGTTGAATATTATATCGGGAACCAAATCAGTTCTCGATTAGTTATCTAATCTAATTTTGGAAGCCAGTTGAACGGTCGGCCCGTAAACGGGTACCGCGATGCCATGACGACTGCGATAGTTTGCTTACGACGTGGCAACCGAAACGTGACAAATTTAATAGTTCGACAGTCCTTGTCTGCGCGACATTCGTGTGTTCACCAAATCTACGTCTGTGCGAAAACCCGAACATGGACCAGTGCAACCATGAAGCCTACGAGTGCGAACCACAGGAAAATGAAAACGCGTCGCTTTT